TAAAGGACCCGCAGTCTTTCCTAAAAATCACTGACGTTCCACCAAGAGGCCTACACCTCTCTTCCCTTTCCCTATTAAGGTGGTATTTAAGCCTGAATCCTAAGCCACATTTTAGAGTTACTTATTTCTGTTGGTTCTCTCCCATGTGTACATGAGCAATACATGTTCCTGTGGTTTTTTTCCCCTTGTTGTCTTTCATTATAGAGGGCCTGTGTCCAGAGCTCAGAAGGATAGAAGGAAATTCAATTTTCCTCCCCTACACCTGTCTCCAGCCACTTCTCCACCCTGATGTTATTCTGCCCTCTTTGCTCATTCCTTGTAGCTCCTTCTTCCTGTTCTCGTCTTTTCCTCCACCCCAGGCCCTCTGAGCACCCTGCACCTGCCTTTTAGAGCCCTTGTCACCATTGCAGGTAAGTTCCCGTTCGTGAGTAGTCCCACGTCTGTCTCCTCCATCTGACTGTAAGTTCAGCTAGTGCAGGTGCCTGGTAGTAATCGACCCTGAATACCCAGCACCGGGCACAGCGCCTCCTGTAGACACGTGGACAGTATGTGTGGAGTGAGTGAAAGGCTGTTAGTGACCAGTGAAGTCACTGGAGAACATGCCATGATACAGGATTTGTTGGAGCTGCTTAGTGGGTCCTTTTAGTGAGAAGGCATTGGCTGGCTACACTTACTGACAGTTGCTACCATTCACTGAGTGCCTACCATTCACTCAATAAGCATTGATTGAGCACCTACTGTGGGCAAAACCCTGGACTTGGCACTGAGTCAGAGCAATGCACACAACAGGCAGAAAGCCCAGCCTTCAAATCACCAGGCACAGATGCTCTGATGATTTTGTTGAAAATTTGTATTTTGATAGAATTCAAATGCATGGATACATTGCAAAAATAGCACATGGAACTCCCCATTCCCTTCACCAAGATTGATCTACTGATTTCATTGCACCCATTTTGAGAGGCAAGCTTTCTCTAGTTGTTATATTTCATTGAATAAAGTTAGAGGAATTTTGGTAAAGGAGGATTTGGGGGTTCAGAGAAGTTTGCGGTATTTAGTACCACATTTCCAGCTGCCGGGGAATGTTTTCCTCCATTCACTCCGACTCGTGAGTCACTGAGCTGACCATAGTGCCCATAAAACGGGTGACTGCCCCCTCAGCGCGGTGCTCGAGGAATGATCGACAGAGAAGTGTGTTTTAATAACTGCTGACGAAAGACATCCTACAAAAGTCAAATCCATGTTATTCACTTTTCACTTCTCTCACTGCTAGCAGCTGTGACTGATTTTATTTTTGTTACCAGGGTTAGCATACATTTTCCCTTGCCCGGTTTCCATGTCCCTCCCGGTGAAATCTTGCCCTCAGCACCAACCCCCCCCACCCCAGCTCCACAGGAACCTGTCACATGCTCGCATACTCAGCTGCCTTTACAGTTGCATCATTTGTGAGCTCTGGTTGTCATGGCAGCGCGCGGGCTTTGAAGGGTGTGTTTCCCTTTGTGAAGATCATTTTGCTTTCCTCACCTCAGCAGTTAAGCATTCTGAGCTGATTGACAATTCAGATGTCTCTTGGTTAATATTCATGTCAAGTAAAACTCGTTTATTGTTCCTAGCAACTTTTCACCTAACACTTTATCTAATCCAGAACTGCCATGCTGCGCAGTTCCGGGGGTTTCCATTCTCCCTAGAGTCAGTGAAAGGGGGGCCCGCGTAGGGGTGCAGTCCTATCAAACCCCACTCTCCCCCTCCAACTGGCAGCTTTCCAACAATTCAAACCTACCTGCTTAGCCCTTTAAAATTTCTTAGGGCTTGTGATGCATATTGGACAACTGCTGCTTGGGTATTTCCGAACCCTGAGAATAGGTAAAAATTGATTGCCTTCCTTCACAAGAGAGGGAATCCAAATGGTCTATAAGCACCAAATGGCCTCTAAAAGAAATTCCAGTAGAAACAACGCTGAAATGTTTTTCATGTAATAGATTAGTAAACATTTTTAAGGCTTGATGGTTAGGATAACAGGCTCGCGTAGAAGCTGTGCCCTTCGAGATGATGCAGGCGTCTCGGACCCTGACTTCGTTGTGCTCGCGGCTTCCATCCGGGACTGCGAGAGGCTGCTTTCCTTGTCCACGGAAAGCATGGATCAGGCCCTGCAGTGTGTGCCTCTGGCCTGGAGGCGCAGCCAGCGGCAGGCTGATCGCAGGGCTATGGATTGAGGCTGATGTGTTCAACCGGAATCACGGAATCACGAGAGGCCCTATGTGGAGTGGAGCTGGGTGGGAAAGAAAGAGGCATACATGGTCCATGGTCTGTGACCCGCACAGGATGTCTGGAACTTCCAGGCGCTCAAGAACACTGCATTTGAAATCGGCCTTCCTGGTAAAGATAAAGGTGTATTTGTCATGGTAGCCGGAGAGAACATATTTTAGTGAACAGTTTGTAGCGTGATTTATTTTAGGTATTCACACATATGATACAAGGCCTCCACTTGTGCTCCTGGCTTCATGCATGTTAAGGTGGGTTTGGTGCAATCGGTGAGGAGTGATGCATGGTAAGTTTTTTTAAATTTAAAAAAACGGGGGTAGAGGAGTATAAGAGACGAAGTGGTAATGGGAAAAACAATCAATAAAAATTAAATTGAAAAGTTTTCATATTCATCCACTCAGAAATTCGTTATGCAGAAATTTGTGCCATAGAAGTAGTCAAATAAGTCACATAAGCATACACAACTTTTAAGTATAAGGATGTATATAATATCTTCATTCTTATAATGACAGTAATGGTAACAAAATGTGCTGGGTACTTTACTGAGCACTCGAAATACCTCCACTGAATCCCTATAATTAGGTGACATTAGTACTACTAGCTCTATTTTATAGAAGAGAAAATTAAAGAAAATACCTAGTTCCCATGCATTTAGCTTGTAAGTGACAGAGCTGGAGAGCTGCGAGTTTTTTTTTTCAACTTTTAATCGCATTTTTCAAACTTAAAGGTTGTGTCTCTGTGTCTACTATACTATTGTTTTTTTCACCTACATGTGAAATCTAAAAAAAAAAGAAAAAACAAAAAGCCTGAACTCAATGACCCAGAGCACAGATTGACGGCTGCCGGAGGGGTTGGGGGTGGGGGGCAAGTGAATGGGAGAAGCTGGTTAAAGGCACACATTTCCAGTCCTAAGATAATTAAGTGCTGGGGGTGTCGCGCACAGCATGATGACTACGGTTAGCGCTGTACTGTGTATTTGAAAGTTGCTAAGAGAACATATCTTAAAAGTTGTCATCACAAGAAAAAAATTCAGTGAGATCATGAAGTTGTGTCATATCTTGCTTATTGCAAGGGGCTGATCGAAGGCCAAACCTCACGAAAGGTTAGCTTCCCCAGTTCCCCACCTTCAAGAGGGTAGAGATCTCTCCCTCCTCACTCCAGTGTAGCTACTTGAGGAAAAATGCTCACTGTTCTTACAGGATTTTCGCCCTGATAAAACGCTTTCATCCCCATTATCCCATTGAGTTTCCCGGGCATGTGAAATAAGCTAGGTTTCAAGTAATTGACCCTAGGGCCAAATGTGGCCCCCAGATGGTTTTGACGCAAAATGTTTTCAGGTATTGAAATGAGTTACTGTGATTTAGAAACCAAGGAATTGCCTAAAAACACCCAGACCTACAGGTTCTCCTGAAAAGTGGGACGCAGGGAGCCAGGGTGTTAGGCTGGAACTGGGGGCAGCTGCAAAGCCCTTGACCCCTTTAGATAGTTCATGTGCTTCCCAGTTCACCTCCTTGGCTCTAGGTAAAAACAATGAGAGTACAGTTCTTCGGAGTTTGAGTGCCTCTCAACGCGACCCAAGACTGAGGAGAACTCTCCTCAAGGGGTGTTTCCTCTCTACTCCGGACCGGACCTGCCGAGCGAGCCCTTCCAGCCCTGCCTTTGACCTTCACCTCCCTGCCTCAGGGCAGGGACTTGGGCTTTTGTTCTGAGAGTACAAGAGGAGCATGTGCAGGACTTGATACAATTTGCATTTTCAAGTCCTCTGGCTAACGTTTTTTTTAACTCTTGAGCTCTCCATAGGGGCTCACCTCATGCCCCTTAACAGACCTTTGGCTTGATCAACCCGAACAGAATGCGTTGGCCACCCCCCGCCCCGCCCCCCACCTCCCGGTGACTCTCAACATAATGGCCCAGCCCAGTGACACATTTCTCACTTTATATCATTGAGGAATGTGTAGAAATTTATTGAACGTTCCTCAGGGATGAAGGGGGAGGAGAGTTGGCACTATAGATCACAGCAAAAAATTAAAAATATCTCATCGATACAGATAACAACCTGGCAGCTCTTAGAGGGCAGAGGGTAGGGGGATACTGGGTAACAAAGGTGAAGGGGTGAAGCAAAAAGAAAACCACACACACAGGCAACAGCATGGTGATCACTAGAGAGAAGGTGAGGCAGCGGGAGAGCGGAGAGGGTAAGGGGCAATAAATGTGACGAAGAGAGACTTGGCTGGGGGTGGTGAACACAATACAACAGACAGATGATACATTATAGAATTGTACATGTGACGCCTATAATTTTATTAACAAATGTCACCCCAATACGTTCCATTCAAAAACACCTTTGAATATCCCCCACTCCCAAAGTTCTACGACAAGCACAGTGGCCCAAATTTCTTTTCTCATAAAAACATTGCAGACCTCCACCTTTTGCTTTACCACTCCCTCCCTCTCACATCCACCTACAGCCCTTTATGCCATCACTTTGTAATTTAGTCTTTGCTGTCATTTTGACTTTGTCCCAGTGGGGACGCGGACACCCCTGAGCTGGGGAAGACCGCGATGGCTTTGGTCTCCTCCGGGGAATCCTTGCATCCCTCTTAAACTGGTGTCCGTGTGGTCCTTTATGATTCAAAATGACAGACCTGTTATACTCCTCCGTTTTACGATTGATCTAAGATTTCCACAAATAAAATATTTCCAAGCAAGACAATAGCCCCCTCCCTCAGCGGAAACACAGATTATTTTGGACAATACTTTAGCGAGACCCAGTCGAGGCTGCACTTGAGATTGGTGAGCACGAGCCGGAGGGCCTTGCTCCACCGCTCCTGCGTGTTCGGGTAGGTTCTGATGGAATAGGCTTCCCCGCCAGCCCCAGGCTCCTGTATCAGGCCCTCCGCCACGTGCATCCGGCAGGGCATGCACAGGCCCGGCCCCTCGCCTTTCTCGGCTTCTTTCTTGAACTGCTGCATGCAGTCCAGGAAAGCCATCATCGCGTGGTCAAACTTGCTGAACAAGGGACCGCTCTGCCCCTGGTCACAGAACAAGGGCAGCTCCACGGAGCTCTTGCTTAAGTACTTCAGGTGGGACCGGCTTCCGCAGGGGATGAGCCGGAACCTCCGAAACTGCAAGCCGACCTTGTTCGACAGGGCCAGGAGCAGCAAGGCTGCCTGTCCCCAGGCGGCGTTGACCTCGTTCCAGCTCACGGGGACGGCGCGGAGGCAGCCCAGCCTGAAGTTATTGATAAGGGCCACCGGGCCGTCATTGCGGATGTCAAACGCTGACCTCAGGGCGTTGGTTCTCTCCAGCCGGGCCAGCTGGGTCTGGGCGCAGTGCAGCTGGTTCTCCACGCTCCTCAGCTCGTCAAACAGTTCCAGCTGTTGCCACTGCAGCGCACTGCAGTCCCTCCGGTACTGGCTTTCCTGCTGGCCCAGCACCGCGGTCTCTGCCTGGGCCGCCGCCAGAGACCTCGCTGCCCGCTCTCGGCTCTTCTCCACCTCCTCCAGCTCCCGGACCAGCCTCGCTTCCTCCAGCTCCGCGGCCCTCAGCTCCTCCTGCAGTGTCTCCCTGTCATCCTCACCGACCCTCTCCCCGGCCTCCAAACCGCGTTTGTAGCTCTGACCGTCAGCTTCCGAGATCCTGAGCTGGGTGTCCAGATGCTCCAAGAGGTTGTCCGTGCAGTCCTGGCATAGAGGCTGGTCCAGATCTTCTTCACCGGAAAGGATGTCGAAAGTGCCCTGAACGGACTTCTGGATGCTGTGGAGAGTTCTCCCAGGGCCCAGCTTCCCAAGAAGGGTGAAGATGCTGGGGACAAGCCAGCACAGCCTGCCATCGCCAGGGATGGGCCCGCCGGAGGCACCATCTTGTCGCTTTTCAACATCTGTCTCCCCTGCGGAGGTAGGTCCTTCCTCTGGAGTTTTTCCGGGCTCCCCGGGAGCCGAGGGGAGACTTGCGGCGGCGGCTTCCCGGCTGGTGTCAAGGCCCAAGGTCTCCGAGGACTGAGAGAGCTTCAGGGGCTGGTAGCAGCGCTGGCAGGTGAAGCGGATGGTGGACATGTTTGGAGGTCTTGACTGGCAACTTGGACTCGAAGTTTCCACTGGCTCCGCGGTGACTTCGTTTAGGCTTTTAAAGCTCCTGAGAGGTGTGATTCTTTTCAGATGCATATGTCACCTGTCACTCTCCCAATTCAGACCTTACCCTGGTACCCTCCTGGGATACCTGCAGCCCTCCTTTAGCTGCTTTAGACAAGGGAGTCTTTCTCAAAGGCAAGTCCAATCATCTCACTTGCCTTTAACAATTTCAAGGCGTATCTGAAGGGTAATCTTTTTAAAACTAAAATCTGATCATGGTACTCACGTCCTTACAATGTTTAATGCTCTTATCTTACCTCAACATAAAGTCTTAGCATCTTCACCTGATACCAAGGCCTCTGCCTCTGGCCAGGTTTCCAGCTTCCTGTCCCCACTTCCTGCCACCCTCACCCACAGGCTCCTCCGTGGTCCTGAAAACTAAATGAATTTCCGTTCTTCCAACATATCCTGTTGTTCGTTCTGACTGGAACACTCTTCCTCTCCTACGTTACCTAGATAACGCCGACCCATTCTTTAGGCCTGGGTTAGATGTCATTTCCTCCAGGAAGCCTTCCCTGATCACCAAATATAGACTCCCTGCTCTGTTGACATTCTTTACCACATGGTAAATGTAATGGGAATACATGAAAAAGATATTTGTTTAATGAACAAATCAAATCAAATAAGTAGTTTGGAGGTATGCATCTTACTGCCAGAAGCTAAGATAATAAGATTAATACACCAAGCATTTGTATGACAAAAACCGAGCCAAACAAAAACTCTACGAAGACATTGACTTCCATCTATCAACCATCCCGTTAAGCTCATTAAGGAGCCAGAGATACTTGCTCTGAAACAGAAACCTGTGAGCTTTTAACTTATCGACCTGGTGGAGCCAAGCATAAAATAAACACAGATAAAAGACAAATAAAAATGGAAAATAAACACAGAAGGCCCCAATGCCTCAACCACAATAAGGGGGAAAAGCCACAGGCCCGGTGCCCCAGGATCCAGCAGAAGGCAGCGTGCCAGCCACTCCCATCCTGGCAGTGGGGGCGGGTGGGGGCGGGTGGCCACGGGAAGCCTTCCTGCAGACGGGATACAAGTTTAGGCACTTCGGGCAACTGGGCATCACTGGACCACACTTCAGGGACATTGTTCTGGCAGGAAACGCCCTTTCTACTGGCCACCTTTGGCTGCAGTTTTCAAACCCCAGCTCGCCCAGTCACTGTCGCGGAGGAATTGGTAATTTACACCTGTTAATTACCACATAGCCTTTCATTCGGGCTCTTACCAGCATCCTACCTGAACTGCAAAGTCACTGGGAGGTGGAAAGACAGGAAGTACGTTGGGGCGAAGAGTTTAAACAACTAGTCAAGAGTCCCACTAGGCCTTGTGACCTCTCTCTCTGATATTCCCCTGAATTAATAAATAATAGGACCATCCTCTAGAGGTTGACTGCAGCACCCCGAGCCCCTCACAGTTGATCCCCCAGAATCTGTCTAGTGGGCCAAAGTCACCCCCCCACACCTGACTAGCTGATGGATCAACTGCTGCAACGTAATCGGTGTCTGCCACAAATTGAGCAGTAAGGATTGCCCAGGGCCGCAAAGGGGCGCACGAGTCCTCTGAGATATGCGCTCTGGGGTGGGTGGTCCACCGGGATCTACCGCACCCTCTGCCTTTCCTCACCTGACACTCCCCGGAGGGCTTGGGGAGCAGCAGGATGAGGAAGTGCTGCCAATGGCGCCATCAGCTCTGAGCCCCACCTTTGCCCCGCCTTCCCATGGTGAGCGAATGCCCGTTCTGCGTGGGAGCTGGTGGCGCTGAGGTGCCGCTGTTGCTCTGGGCTCCTGTGGCCAGGAACCCTACCTCATCCCTTCTGCTACCAGGCTCTCATTTTATTAAGGTCGAGGAGTCCCCAGGCGTGAGAACTCCCTGGCTTGGAAGATGCTTAGGGCAGGAATTCTCATCTGCTTCATTCTTTGCGCGGAGCCCAGAACAGGGCCTGACATGTAATGGGTGCCCCATATCAATGTGTTTAAATGCGTTAATGTAGAGATTCAAATGTACTGGGATGGAGAATGGAAAGTGCGTGAAAATTAGAGGTTCATGAAAATTAGAGGCGCATCTATACAGAAAAAAAGGGGGGAAGGGTGTCAAAAAATCACTTTTTGGCAACGCCACCGATGCCCCCCAGCGTCCTGCCGCCTGAGGGGATCTAAGCCGGGCTTTGATTTCTTCAGCTCCCCCTGGATTCAGCAAACCTTCAGCAGGTCGCAGGAGGATGCAGCCTGTCCTCACAGATTTGTCATCAACAAATCACGTGCCTGCTCTGAAGACTCTGTCTGCATCAGCCAACAGCTTTGAGAGGTGGTTTCCAGCACCAGGAGACACACACCAGTCCTGTTTATGTGCCCTCATCAACGGTTTTTAGTTTCATGTCATTTTTTATTGAGTTTAGCTGGCAGGTGACAGCTTTCCTCCTTTGAGCTTTGTTTTTCAAAGTCAGTGATGTTTTCTTTGCTTTGCCTGTCTTTGTTCCGGGTGGGAGGTGGCCGGAGGTAGGGAAGACGTGGTTCCACTGCCCCGGGATTCTGGCAGGGGGACAGAGCACTTCCCACCCAAGAGGTCCCTCCCTGCCATGCAGGAGAGAATGCTCAGAGGCAGAACACCGTCTTTGGGCTTTGAGAACACTGGAAACCGGGGGGTTCTTTGGCCTAGTTTCTAAAGTTTCTTTTGGAAAATTCATAGACAAATCTGAAGCCAGAAATTAAAATCCAAGACCAGTACAATGTTGAGATTCAAGAGAAAACAACTGTCCCATCAACATTGGGAGTTCTCACCTTTTTTAGGTTTGCTAGCAAAGTACTGGCCACTTTTTAAAAACTGATTATTTGTGCTCTGACCCGTGTGGCTCAGTTGGTTGGGTGTCGTCCCACAAAGTGAAGGATCACCGGTTGGATTCCCAGTCAGAGCACATGCCTGGGTTTGGGCGTCGGTCTCTGGTCCAGGCATGTACAAGAGGCAACCGACTGATGTTTCTCTCTCACATCGATGTTTCTCTCCCTCTCTTTCTTCCTCCCTTCTCCTCTCTCTAAAAATAAATAAAATCTTTTTTAAAAAATTGGTTATTCATGAGAGCATCCTTTTTTAAGGCACAATTGAAGGGATGAGATGAAGAAGCATACATTCTTCTCTTAGGGTGCCGGATCCCATGACCCCCACATCCCAGATCCACATGACACCCGGCCCCATGTGTGCCTTGTCACCTACTGGTTGACACTGAGGAACGAGGTAATGGTCAGCTCCTGAGGGACCAGGAACTTGGGCTCATCCAGTGGGGAAGGGGATACTCCATGTCACCCATCAAGAGGTGCAGCGTGAATCTCTTCTGAGACAGGTGCTTAAAAAAGCACCTCAGTTCTCCATGTCTTAGGGACTTGGAACAGAGAGAAAGCGGTCATCGGTTGGGTTTGGTTTTGATTTTCAAAGACCAGGATGTCCAGACCCCCTAAGGAAGCAGAGTGGAGTCTCTCCCCAGGACCTCGCTGGGGATTGTGTCCAGATTCCAGCAACCGCCTCTGAAGGATCTGCTTCCATGGTGGCTCACTTGTGTGGCCAGGAAGTTGATGCTGGACGTTGGCAGGAGCACCGCCTGCTTTCTTCTTCCTGTCCTTCTCCTTCTTCTTCTTCTTCTTCTCCTCTTCCTCTTCCTCCTCCTCCTTCTTCTTTTGCCACAAGGGCCTCATTTATAAATGCTGTTTAAATGTCCATACAACATGGCAGCTGGCTTCCCCATGACAAATGGATCGAGAAAGAGAACCAGGTGGAAGCTACAACCTCTATCCCCCTCCCCAGTGTTATTCATAAAATTGACATTGTGTAAGTTGAAGGTGGGTCATGTGATTATTTGATATAGGTATGCATTGCAAAAGGATCACCACAATAATAAGGTTAGTTAACGTCCGTCACCAGAGTTACCATTTTCTGGTGTGTGTGGTAGGGACTCTTAAGATCCATTCTCCTGCCAACTTCCAAGTAGACAACACAGCACTGTTAACTATAGTCACCGTGCTGTCTGTCACATCCCAGAGCGGATCCACCTTATCGCTGGAAGTTTGTACCCTTAACCACCTTCTCCCATTTTCCCGACTTTGGTGACCACCAGTCTACCCTCGGTTTCTATGAGTTTGGTGACAGAAAGAGATGACTTTGGATGGTGAACACACAATACAGTGTACAGATGATGTATATAGAATTGTACACTTGAAACCTATATAATCTTATTAACCAATGTCACCCCAATACATTCAATAAAAAATTAAAAATATGTATGTAAAAGAAAAACTGAAATGAGCAGGAACAAAGAGATAGTTGGAATTTCTCTTCGGACGTTAAGCAATGTGGAAGAGCTGCCCTCTTGTGGGCAGCTTTTGAAATCACCTTTAAATGATTATTTAGAAATCAAAGAATTTACTCTGCTTGGTTTACAGAATTTTGAAGATGCAATTTCTGACGTTGCAATCACCTGTCTTTTTTGACCTGAGGTTGCAGGTCAAAAAAGACAACAAAATTGCAGTGGTTTACCCAAAGTCACTTACAGTTTCCGATAAGTTAGAACTACAGGTCAAATCTTTGGACTTGTAACTGGAATTCTTTCAATTATTTTTCTGCCTCCCCTCAACCATGAGTCAACAAGTATTAAACACGAAAACGTGTTTAGAAAGATTTCAGGTGCATTATATCATGTATGATAGCCTGGTAGCTAGAAATCATCTAATGCAAAGAATGTGAAACGCCAACCATGTTGCCAGGATCTTGCCGGGAGTTGAGAAACAAAGGTAGGAAGTGCTTTTATGGTGTCGTGGATTGTAAAATTTAATACCATTGACACGTTCACTCTGACAGCGTCCCCCTCAAGGCTGCCTTTAGTGGTTAAGCACCAGATTGCAAACAGCAGCAGCCTACTGCTGCGGAGGGTC